CCCAGAGGAGCCGTGAAAGGAGCCAGTCCTCCGCCCCAGCTCCGCCTGACTCCCGCAGCCCGACTCCCTGCAGCCCGCCATGGGAGCCCGGGCCGCGGCCGCAGGGGCTCCGTGGGTCCGCGCCCCCCTCCGGACCGGACCCCGGACCGGACCCCGGACCGGACCCCGGTTCCGACGGGACCTGAACCTCCAGGCGGCCAGGCTGAGGGGCATCGATGACCTGCCGGGGCCCAGCTGGCCCACCACCCTGTTCTGGCTGTTCGGACGGGGCTACGCGGAGAAAGGACACCTGCTGCAGGTAAAGGGGGAACGGGGGGGTTAGTGCATCTGGTTAGTTTAATGATGTATTCAACTGTATTAGCTTTAGTTTGTAAGCTCTTTTCATTAAAAGTCCTAAGACTTTTTTTTTTTTTTTTTTTGGTGGCTCAAAAAAGCTGCAGAAAAGAAATGTTAGAACGAAACTTTGTGAAGGCATGCAAAACTAACTCCATATTTATAACATTCACCTTATATCATGGTTACATTGTATATACTTCATATTTTCTATTCACTTTCCAATTTTGCAGTTTTTGGTAAATTTAATGATATATCCAACAGTATAAGCTTTAGTTTTTAAGCTCTATTCATTAAAAGTCGTAAGAGTTTTATTTTTTTATTTTTTTGGTGGCTCAAAAAAGCTGCAGAAATATTTCAGAAGTCTCACTTTGCCTTTAGGAACAGATGTTTGTCCTGCCTTTGTGAAGGCATACAAAACTGCAGAATTCTAACAAGTAATAAAAAAGTCAAATAAAAGTGCTGGAATAGTAATGGACCCCGTTTGTTTCTGTATCAGACGCTCCTGGGTTTGTGCTGCACTTACTATTATGTTAAGATAAGATAAGATAAGCTTTATTGATCTCACAGTGGAGAAATTCACTGGTCACACATCGGTTTAGTGATTAAAGACGGTGCGAACAAGGAGGAAAAGGTGCGTAAAGTATAAACAATAAAAATAAATAAAGATACAAGGGAGTAACACAGAGATTTGAGTGACATATGTACAATCAGGATGGCTTATATACATTATACATATTGCACAGGTTATTGCACAGGTCAATAAATATAATATAATTGCACAGTAGTTATGTAGACGTTTTCTGTCCTAGTGTTTAAGGCCGGGTCTCCACAGGCTCCCTGAAAACGTCATTCTTGTCTGAAACATCTTTTAAACCTGTGGACAGCAGCGGCTGGTTGCTCAGAGCTCTCAGAGATGTGACATCTGTTTTCCAGATCCTGCAGAAGAGCCTGTACGGGCCCATCTGGCGCTCCAGGTTCGGGCCCTTCGACATCGTCAACGTGGCGTCCCCAGAGCTCATCGCCCAGGTGATCCAGCAGGAGGGCCGCTTCCCGGTGCGGGTGGAGCTGCCCCACTGGAAAGAGTACCGGGACCTGCGGGGACAGGCCTACGGGCTGCATGTGGAGTGAGTCTGTCCTTCTGGAGCCTCAGGGACCCGGAGGGGAAACGGGGGCCTTCACTGGGGGCCTCCCTGAGGATTCTGGAGGCTTTTACCAACTCTGTCCGGTAACGAACGGGAACAGAGGACCCAGAATTCAGCCAGACAAGATCAGATAGCTAAAGCACTCAGTTTGAGGCGTAACAGGGGCAGAAATGGGTCAGAAAGGTGGCCGAAACGGGAGCAAAACAAGGGCACAAATGGGTCAGAAAGAGGTAAGAAACGGGGCAGAAATGGGTCAGAAATGGGGCTGGAACGGGGGCAGAAGTGGGGAAGAAATGGGTCTGAAACGGGGCAGACACGGAGTGAGAAATGAGTCAGAAACAGGGCCAGAAATGGGTCACAAACGGGGGAAGAAACGGAGGCAGAAACTGAGGCATAAACGGGAGCAGAAATGGGTCTGAAACGGGGCATAAATGGGGCTGAAACAGGGCAGAAACGGAGGCAGAAACGGGAGCAGAAATGAGTCAGAAACGAGTCAGAAACGAGTCAGAAACGGGGCCGAAACGGGGCCGAAATGGAGCTGAAACAGGGCAGAAACGGAGGCAGAAACGGGAGCAGAAATGGGGCTGAAACAGGGCAGAAATGGGTCAGAAATGGGGCCGAAACAGGGGCAAAACAAGGGCAGAAATAGGGCAGAAACGGGGCAGAAATGGGTCAGAAACAGGGTCAAAAAGGGGCAGAAATGGGTCATAAACAGGGCCGAAAAGGGGCAGAAATGGGTCATAAATAGGGCCGAAAAGGGACAGAAATTAGTCAGAAATAGGGCCAAAAAGGGGCAGAAATACGGTCAGAAACGTGGCCGAAACAAGGGCAAAACAAGGTCTGAACAGGGCAGACACGGGGTCAGAAACGGGGCCAGAAATGGGGTCAGAAACGTGGCCGAAACAGGGCAAAACAAGGGCAGAAATAGGGCAGAAACAGGGCCAGAAATGGGTCTCGTCTCTCTCAGGTCGGGCCCTGAGTGGCAGCGCCTCCGCGGCGTGCTGAACCCGCGGATGCTGAGGCTGCGGGAGGCGGCGGCCTTCGGCCCGGTGCTGCAGCAGGTGGTGGGAGACCTGCTGCGGCGGGTGGAGATCCTGCGCCTGCAGAGCCCCGACGGAGCCACCGTCCCAGACCTGGCCGCAGAACTCTACAAGTTCGGCTTCGAAGGTGGGTCAGGACAGAGGTGTTCAGCAACAAGTAGAGCCACTTAAGTACCAAAATACAGTATCTGGACTTTATTGGAGGATATATTTTTTCCCTACTTTTACTTTTACTCCACTACATATTTCTTTGTAATTTAATACTTTTACTCCACTACATATTTTGGATTAACCAACTGTGGCATGACTTTTTATTCGTTGGGGAAAAAATCTCACCCCCTTTTCGGGAGCTCATATAGTCGTCCTAAAACCTGAGAAGTGGAATGAAAACTAGTTCATTTAGACAAAGATAAACAAGTTGCACACACTGCATGTTTAACCAGGAAGTTCTTTAACGTTCAAGAAACATCTGGACAAACATCTAAAATGTACATTTCTTATGTCTCTTCTTCTTTCTCCACATAAATATAAAAGTCTGGATATGTGCTTTGTTGCCTAAAGGCTACACCAAACCATAGAGAGTTAATTATATACTTTTACTCCGATCGATTTTTCACTGGCTGAATGGTTACTGGTTACTGATATGTAAACGTAATGAATCATCCCCAGTCTTAGAGTCAGAGCCAGAGCTGTAGAGATACTGTAGCTCTGTCAGGGTTTGGGAAGCTGGCTCCTCATTGGCCGCTTTGAGCCATCAAGCATGGCCTATAAAAAAATGCCTGCCAAAAGATTACGAAATCATGGCCTTCAAAAATTCCCCATCTAATCTGAAGAAGCATATCAAGGTAAGTTATAACATACAATGACATATAAGCTAGTAAATAAGCGCTAGTTCAGTTCTCCCTGTTCACTCAGCTAACATTAGCTAAAGCTAACCTAGCTGGCTAGTTGTATGCTACATGCTAGCATAAAGGCTCAGCTCAGGATTCTGACTCTGGAATAATAAATAATAGTATATGAATAGCTGGTTATTGCTAATGCAGATGTAGTTTTCTGTTTTTTGTAAACACCTGTATGGCCTTTCACAAATTAAAAATAATATAAACAATATCCATCAAACTTTTGATGATTTTAATATACACAGTACTTGTACTTTTACTTATACTTGTACTTTCGATAGTTGAGTAGCAATTTTTGAAATACTTCTACTTGCAACACTTTAGTAAAAAGAAATAGACTACTTCCATACTTCCACTTAAGTTTACTTTTACTCAAGTCTATATTTTTCTATACTACTTGTTCTTCTACTCCAGTACTTAATCCATCTCTGGTCAGGACTCCCCCCCAGACCCGTACCCGGTCCCGTTTCCCCCTCTGACTCCTCTGCCCCCCCCCCCCGGCACCTCCTCCATCCTGTTCGAGACCCGTCTGGGCTGCCTGCAGGAGCAGATCCCTCCGGACACGCGGCGCTTCATCGGGGCTGTGGGCGACATGCTGCGGCTGTCCGATACGGTGCTCATCCTGCCCCGCTGGACCCGCCGCCTGCTGCCCTACTGGGGCCGATTCGTCCAGGCCTGGGACGACCTCTATGAAGTAGGTGGGTGGTGGCCGGAGGCCTTTACTTTACTTTACTTTACTTTACTTTACTTTACTTTACTTTACT